TTGCATTGATCTAAATGTCTGTCTTGTGCCAAAGAAGACTTTTCCAATTATAGACTGGGAGTCAACGGATAGCAAGTTGTTTTTAATTTTCTCATAAAATTAACATCTACAACCTAATCAGCATCTACAATTACTTCAATGACCTATTTTTGCAAAACAAACTACCCCAAAACTTGGTGTCTTAAAACTAGGAACAGTTCACTACATCTTAGAATTTCATGGGTCAGGAACTCAAATAAGGCTGAGCTGCTTCATTCAGCATCAATAACAGCCACAAGGTGTTTAGCTGCAAACACCTGGAATAGAAGGTCCAAGATATCATCACCTAATGTGTCTGGTTGTTTGGTCAGCATGACCAGAATGTTACATTTTGGACATCAAGTTATATTCCAAAGCTGTAGTAATCAAGACAGTACTGTACTGGCACAAAAATAGACACATGGATCAGTGGAACAGATTAGAAAACCCAGAAAGAAACCCACAATCTATGGCTGATTAATCTTTTCCAAAGCAGAAAGGAATATCCACTGGATAAAGACAGTCTTTTCAACAAATGTGGTTGGGAAAACTGGACAGCAATATGCAAAAGAATGAAATGAACCACTTTTTTACACCATCCCCAAAAATAAACTCAAAATAGATTAAAGGCTAAATCCATAAAATCCTAAAACCCTAAGTATCCTAGAAGAAAGTACAGGCAGTAAAGTCTCTGACATTGGCTGTAGCACATTTATCTATACATGTTTTATGAGGCAAAAGAAATAAAATAAAAAAAACTATTGAGACTACATAATAATAAAAACTTGTGCACAATGAAGGAAACTCTCAACAAAACTAAAAGCAGCCTACTCAATGGGAGGTGATACCAACAATTGACATTTCCAGTAAAGGATTAATATCAAAGGTACATAAAAAACTGATACAAACAATCCAATTAAAAAATAGGCAGAAGACATGAACAGACATTTCTCCAAAGAAGACATCCAGATGGCCAATAGACACAGGAAAGGATGCTCAATACCACTCATTACTAGGGAAATGCAACTCAAAACTACAATGAGATATCACCTCACACCTGTCAGAATGGCTAAAATCAAAAACACAAGAAAGAAGAAGTGTTTGTAAGGATGTGGAGAAAAGGGAACCCTCTTGCACTGTTGGCAGAAGTGCAAACTATTGCAGCTACAATGGAAGACAGTATGAGATTCCTCAAAAAGTTAAAAATAGAACTACCCCATGACCCAGTAATTAGACTACTGGGTATTTACCCCCCAAATACAAAAACACTAATTTAAGGGATACATGCACTCTGTTTCTAGCAGCATTATTTACAAGAGCCAAGTAATGGAGTCAGACCCAAGTGTCCATCACTAAATGAATGGGTAAAAAAGATGTGGTATATATATATATATACACATATATATATACACAATGGGATATTATTCAGACTAAAAGAAATTAAATCGTCATTTGCAATGATTTGGATGGAGCTGAAGAGTTTAATGCTAAGGGAAATAAGTCACTTAGTAAAAAACAAACAGCATATTATATTATTTCACTCATATGTGGAATCTAAGAAATGAAACAAATGAGAAATGGGAATAATAGAGAGAGAGAGAAAGAGAGAGAGGGAGAGACCAAGAAACAAACTCTTAACTATAGAGAACAAATGGACAGTTACCAGAGGGGAAGTGAGTGGGGGGAAAGGGGAACAAGTGATGGGGATTAAAGAGTACAAGTTAACAGGATGCACACTGATTCATGTATAGAATCACTATATTGTACACCTGAAACTAATATAACACTGTATGTTAACTATAATGGAATTAAAATAAAAAGCTTAAAAATAAAAAATAAGGGGCACCTGGGTGGCTCAGTCGGTTAGGCATTCTACTGCAGCTCAAGTCATGATTTCAGGGCTTGTGAGTTCCAGCCCTGGATTGGGCTCTGTGCTGACAGCTTCAGCTTTGGAGCCTGCTTCATGTTCTTTGTCTCCCTCTCTCTCTCACCTTTCCCCACTCATGCTCTGTCTCTCTCTGTCTCTCAAAGATGAATAAACATTAAACACTTTTAAAAATAAATAAAAATAAAAATAGCTTAGGTTTTAAAAATCCAAGTAAAAATCATTAGATTGACTTTGATGTCTTATGACCATTGATTATTCATGGGTAGTCTAAGCCTAACTGTTTAAGAACAATGAAAATTAAATAGATGTAAGTTAATTTTTAGATATAAATTAAATTTTTTAAAAATTTAGGTAAACTTTTAAATCATTTCTGAAATATGTTTGATAAATTAAAACCTTAAAACTTTGTTGAGTTAGATTAAATAATGATTTAAATTAGATTCATTAACTGTCTAGATCATATCCAAAAAAATAATGAAACATTAATTATTAAACATAGATGCCTCTAATTTTGGCTTCCTTATTAGTGAAAAACTAAATATTAATGTAAATCTGACAGTAAAATTTTTTGGCACACTGTGTAGAAAGATTGTACTATAAATAAAGCACATGCTTCTAGAAGTTATAAAGTGTATTTATAAATTTACCAATCTAAGGAACACTGGTTTAACACACAGTTAACTCATGCTTACTACTTAGTTTTCACTAGATATTAAATTTTCTAAAGGTTAAGAACTCTAATTAATGTGTGTGGTTAAAGCTACTAATTTTTTTTTTTAAAGGAAACATCTCAGTGAAAGAAAAGTAGGATATGTGCTTTTGGTAAAAAAAGAAATGAATATGGACTAGAGAAACACTTTTATTTGAAGTAAAGGAAAGTTGTAGAAAGCTTGTAAAAAGAAATTTTTGAAAAAGAATTTTATGCATGATCAGAACTAACAGTGGAGTGAATATATTTTAATACAAAAGTAAACTGGTACAAAATTAGCATTTGGTTTCCTATCTGTTAAAAGAAACATTGTTTCTTTTATTTAAAACACTTGATCTACCTTTGGTAATAGGTTGAGAAAGTTTTCTTACCATTTAAATGGCCTTAGAAAACAAAGATCTTCTGTTTTATGTTATATTTGTATAGGCATATAAATGTTCTATAAATTGTGTGAAATTCCTTGAAATTTAATATGTTCTAAAGTTATCAGTTATAATTACTCTCTTATATTCTGAAATTGCTGTCATCAAAACAGGCTCACACTAAAAGGACTGAACCACAGTAACAGGAAAATACCCCTGCTGATTTACATACAAAGGCAGACAACAAAAAATTTATAATAATTGTGGCACATGTGGATAAAACCCATTCTGCTGCCACAAAAATATCCCCTCACTGTGAGACTTTGCCATTCTGATGTCAGGGTAACATGGCAACGCTTGACTTCTAAATCAGAGAAAATAAGATGGGGATACAATGGCTATACATTGAACTATCAGGACTTTGGGTAATACAGGACAGCTCTTGATTTCTTCCTGACCTCCTGGTAAACCCCCTTTTTTGTTTGTTTTTTCATTATTCACCCACCATAGTATGCTTTTAAGATGACTCAAACTATGACTAGACATTCAAGGAGAGACTTGTATAAAATTGTGAAAACAGTCTACCAGCAATCTAACTTCTCAGGTCCATTATCCTGGAAAAATTATCTTTGCCCCCAGGAAACTCAGAGCTATTCCCAGTGGAATTTTGGTACACCTGCAGCTGCTCATTATTCAATTGCCACCTAGTGTGGGTTATCATTATGTTCCTCTTACTTTATGTGTGTGTGGTCTTTTTGTTTTTTTGTTTTTGTTTTTTGTTTTTTTTTTTAGTTAGTTGACTGATGCCTTCAGAGTGGCAAAGGAACTGTTAGAAAATGTGTTTCCCACTTGGAATACACCTTCCACAATCTCCCAGTGATTGAGATAGGCATTTTGGAGACAAATCTTATCAGCCTTACGAAAAATCTGCACACTTCTTGGAATCATCACAATACCTATCACACTCAAGCTTCAAAGAAGATTAAGAAAATTAATGAGATCCTCAAACTTAAAAATTTTAAACTAGCCCAAAATACTGAATGTCCCTGTCCTAAGATCAGTTTTGGCCTTGCTGACCGTTTGCAGTACTCTCTTTGGATAAATTAAACTCACCTCACATGACATAATCACTGGCAGACCATTGTCTCTTGGTACACAACTTTCTGTTGATTCCTTGTTGTCTCATGCTACTATGACCAACTATGACAAAGTCTCCAATGTTTTATGCTCAGTCCTATCATCAATAGGTTAAAGAAATCTTCCTAGGTCCCAATTCAAAGGATCCTGTTGGTCACAATCTAAAACCTGGTGACTGGGTATTCTAGAAATGTCATCAAAGGAATACAGCATTTGAACACTTATTGAAAGGAATCTTACCAAGTGCTCCCAACCACTGACATTGGTATAAAACTAGAAGGTGTTGATTCTTGGGTACACATCTCACAGCTAAAGAAAGCTTTACTTGACACCTGATCCTAAGAAGATGCTAGAGACCTCTAAGTCAAATTGATGAGGAAGATAGGTAGCTGACATTGAGGTAGACTACATGCCCATAAGACAATAGATCAAGTCTTCATACTTTAATTAAATTTGAAACCCTTTCTCCTTCTTTCTCTTTCCTTTATTATGACATAATCTTAGAAATATAATGCCCTCAGCTATACGTCCCAGACCTTTGCTATGAAGGGGAGTAAATGCCAACATTTAAAACAATCTTTTATTTTAGACTCAGTGGAAATCTAACTGTCCATAACTTTTCTCAAGCATAATAAGATATTTCATTGGTCAACTCCATTGGATTCACATCATTGAGTTTAAAAGATTAACCAGGCTCAGGAGTTGCTTCCTTTGGCAGGGCTATGTTTCCCTGGCCAAGAGTAAATGTACATGGCAATCTGATCCAAAATCTTTCTTTAAATCCTAATTATATTGCAGAATCCATTGCTAAGACAATAGCTACCCAAAAAAGATTCTTAGATCCTCTGGCCAAAGATTTTCTTGACAATAAATAGTCTTTACTTACCTTATAATGGAGCAACAGGTGTCTATACTGTGAACACCACCACCTACTGCATCTGGATTAACATTTCTGGGGAAGCTGAAACACAACTACATAAGATCACTGAGCAAGCCACTTGGCTTTAAAAGATTACTCCTTCAGTGAGGACTTTTTTTTTCTTTTTTTTACCTTACTTAAATTTTATTGTTTGGGTCATAGAACCATGGCTTTAGAATGCATTCTATCCATTAAAAATTATCCTGCTCATAAAAATCATAATAATCATAACACTGCATGTTCTCAAAAGTTTTGAATGTATGTTCACATAAAGTAAATAATGTCACTGTGACTGGACCATCATAAAAGAAAGATAGAGGATGGCTGATTAAAAAATTGTGACCCTGGGGCGCCTGGGCGGCTCAGTTGGTTAAGCGTCTGATTTCAGCTCAGGTCATGATCTCACGGTTCGTGGGTTCGAGCCCCACATTGGGCTCTGTGCTGACAGCCCAGATCCTGGAGCTGCTTCACATTCTGTGTCTCCCTTTCTCTCTGCCCCTCTCCTGCTCACGCTGTCTCTATCTCAAAAATAAATAAAACATTAAAAAAATTGTGAACCTGAAGTTATCAGCTGTGAATATCACAGAAATTAAGCAACAACATCATAACATGTGAAACCATGCAAAGGACCAACAAACTGTAAGAACCTCTGAGCAGTAGCTGAAAGTGACACCAATACCTTATATTTTGATAAAATCTCTAAGTTAAGCTGAAAGTCTGATCTCGTGGAAAAGAAGGGCCACAGGGCCATAGGAAGCCACATAAGTTAAGGCCTCAATTCAGTAAACTAAGACCTAATACGTAACCTAATTACAGTTTCATTCCCCCAGGAATATCTCCTTTAACCAGTCAACATAAGAATTTCCTGGTTAACACTGGGGATTTGCCAGTAGATCCTTTCTCTTCTCCTTAGGAGAGTGACTTTGACTAAAACAGTGGACTCCTGGCTAATGATTTCTTTCTTTTTCTCCTTCTCCCTTCCTTTAAAAACTCTTTCCTATGGTTCAGTGGAGCTCCTTTCTATTTGTTAGATAAGATGCTGTCTAATTCATGAATCATTAAACAAAGCAAGTCAGCTTTAACATTTTCAGTTGAATTTGAATCTGTTTTTAAACAGATAATAAGCATTGTCTCCCCAGGGAAAAGTATTACCATGAGATGAGGGGTGTCTGATGGCAGTAGCTCTTGGGAAAAGCCCCTATCCACTTACACCCCTAATATTCACATGATCCTTCTACAGTTCACAGGAATAACATTTGTTCTGCAAACACTCTCTAAAAATGTCCCAAATAGTTAAATTTTCTAAACGTCTCACAGCCATCAACCAGTCATCCTGCTCCTCAGTCTTTCAAGTCCACAGGATCCAAAACTGAGCATCCAGCCCCTACCACACTTGGACCTATAGGTCTGTAATTCTATTTTTAGACCCGCACTCAATCCAAAGTGATTTCTTGCTTACCAGCTTCTGAAAGAAAGGAGACTTGGTGTCAGCGTTGAGCTCTGAAAGTGTCCACTGGCAATGCAGGAAATGCTGAGTCTGAAGTGCTCACCCAGGAACACTCCTGTCCACAGATCGTCCTTGCACTGGAACAGGTCCTGTGTGCTGGTGTGGTCCCTGCAGAGATTAAAGAGCTGACTGTCACCCAAATGTCTAACGAGCTGGCAAAACAGAAATAATCTCTGTTCTCTGCCCCACCCTCACAGGATTCTGGCCAATAGAAAAGAAGCAGCTATCACATTGCAGAGTCCTGTTATTTCCAAGAACAGAAAGTGAAATCAAAGTTCTGAGGTCTCCTTTTCCGAGAAATACAGCTTTTGCCAGGAAGTGAAATTGAAAGGCACCATGGACACTGATTTTGTTTGCTTTTGGCATCATGAGTGAGAGGAGGGCACAGATCCCAGGCAGGAGACTTCTCAGTGACCCCTGAGACACCCTAACCAGGCTCCAGGCACCAGGTCAGGCAGAATCTGAATCCAGAATCAGAGAACAAAGCCTGGGTCCTGGGAAAACGACACTCATGGTTCCCCTGTTAACCTTGACAGCCCAAACTCTATGGGGAGTGAAGTCTAATAAAGTGTATATCTAGTCATTGTCCCTGGTTCCTGCCACAGAGCTTCAAAACTCCTAGAAATTTCCCAAGTGATAGGATATGACTTTGTTATGCTAATGAAATTATTGTTGTCAGGTTCCTAGATAGTTTTAGGTCAGTGGCTGATCAGCAGGAATACCAAGCATATGAATAGAGGGTGGGGACTTTAGGGCAACTATACCTCTGGGGAGAAGAAAGGGGATGGAGATTGAGTTCAATTAAGTGGCCAATAATTTGATCAATTATGTCTATGTAATGAAAACCTAATAAAAATATCTCTAGAAACAAGGCTAAAAGATTTTTGATGTTTGCGCTAATGCTCTGGGAAGCTGACGTGCCCTGATTTCATGGGGAGAGGCATGGAAGCCGTGTACTCCCTCCCAGATTTCATCCTATATGTATCCTTTTAAATAAAGCTGTACTTGTCAGTATAAAACTTTCCTGACTTCTGAAAATCATTCTAATCAGTTATCAAGGCCAAGGGGGTTATAGAAACCCTCAAATCGGTAGACAGTTGGATTTCCAAGTGACCTAGTGAATCCACCAACGTGAAGCTAGTGTTTGAAGGGAGGGTAGTCTTCTGAAGGACTGAGCCCTGAAACTTGGGGAGTCTTTGCTTATTCTGGGTGGTTAGTGCAGAAATCGAAAGGTAATACCCAGTTGTGGTGTAAACTGAATAGGGAGTAACCCTGTGTCTTTGGCAGCCACATTTTGGCTTTAATTTTAGTTTTTTCATTTATTTGTTGAATAGAAGTACAGTAGATAGTTTATTATTCAAGACCAATAAGATGTGTGCAATAATATGTCCCTCTACACATAATAGCTATTCATCAAGTTTCTGTACTAGAGGGATTGTGTCATCCTTATGGGTCCATTTAATAAACACATGAGAAAATATGCACTATTTTCTACTTTTTAAAAAAATGGCAGCATTTCCTGCACAATGTCCAGCATCTTGGGTTCTTCATTTGTTATTTAATTGTTCTAGATGAGCAATATTCCATATTTTCACTCTTGTAAACAATGCTGCAATAAAAATAGAAGTGTACATATCTTTTTGAATTAGTGTTTTTATTTTCTTTAGTTATCTCTCCCAAAGTTCCTCCTATGAAAAATATTTTTATAAATGTATGTTCAAGCAAACATGTCTTCCGTTGATAAATATTTAAGAAATAAGAATGATAGCTCAATAAAGCTGTCATTTCATTTTTTTAAAAATGTCTACTTACTTATTTTTGAGGAGAGACACACAGAGAGAAAGAGAGAGAGAGAGAGAGAGCAGAGGATGAGCAGAGGGAGAAGGAGAATCTCAGGCAGGCTCCATATTCAGCACGGAGTCCAAAGTGGGGCTCCATCTCATGACTCCAAGATCATGACCTGAGCCAAAATCAAGAGTCAGTTGCTTAACCAAATAAGCAATCCAGGTGCCCCAAAGCTGTCATTTAAAAAAAAAAAAAACACACAAATGAAATGGAACATTCTATCAGCCTAGTATACTCTGGTGAGCCCCTGCAAAGTGGAACTCCCTCTTCTAACGTGGAATTTATCTGCCCCCCCAACACCATATTTTGATTGAAGAACAATTAACATAAAATGTTATGCTAGATTCTGGTACACAACATATTGATTCAACAATTCTATACATTACTCAAAGCTTACCACAATAAGTGCAGTCACTATCTGTCGTTATACAACATTATTATTGTATTGGCTGTATTTCCTATGGTGTGCTATTCATTTCTCTGACTTTTTTATTTTATAACTGGAAATTTGTGATTCTTAATCTCCTTTATTTATTTTACCTTTCCCACTACCCACGTCCTCTCTGGAAACTACCGATTTATTCTCTATATTTCACAGTGTATTTTGTTGTTCTTTTGGGGTGTTTTTGTTTGTTTGTTTGTTTATTTCCTTAGATTCTACCTATAGGTAATACTATATAATAGTTGCCTTTCCCTCTCTGGCTTAATTTCACTTCATATAATACCTTCTATTTCCATCCATTTTGTCATAAAATCACAAGCTATCATTTTTATGGGTAATATTCCATTGTGTGTGTGTGGATGAATGTATATTACACACACTACATTTTCTATACCTATTCATCTATCAATGCACACTTAGATTGTTTCCATATTTTTACTGTTGTAAGCAATGCTGCAATAAACATAGCGGTGCACATGTCTTTTGAATTAGTGTTTAAATGCCAATAGTGGAATTACTAGATCAAAAAGTATATATATTTTTAGTCTTTTGAGGAAACTCCATAAAGTTTTCTACACTAGTTGCACCATTTTACATTTCTGCAACAATGCATGGTAGTTCCCTTCTTTCCACATCTTCACCAATACTTGATTATTATCTTTTTGATACTAGCCTTTCTGATTGGTGTAAGATGTTTTTATGGTTTTGATATGTATTTCTCTGAGGAGTAGTAATGTTGAACATCTTATCTTTTGGTCATTTGTATGTTTTTGTTTGATTTTTTTGAGGGGGAAGTAATGTCTATTCATGTCATCTGCCCATTTTTATAGTGGATTTTTATAGTGGGTCCCTCCCTGTGCAAAAGCTTTTTCTAAGTTTATTTATTTTCTAGAGAGATACAGAGAGAGAGAGAGAGAGAGAGAGGGAGAGAGAGAGCATGAGCAGGGAGGGACAGAGAGAGAGGGAAACAGAGGATCTTAAACAGGCTCTGCACAGACATCAGTGAGCCTCATGTGGGGCTAAAACTCACAGACCAGGAGATCATGACCTGAGCCAAACTCTGACACTCAGGAAGCTGAGCTACCCAGGCACCCCAAAAGCTTTTTATTTTGTTGTAGTCACAATAGTTTATCTTTGCTTTTGCTTGCCTTGCATGTAGAGACAGGTTCATAAATATGCTACTAAGGGAGATGTCCAAGAGATTGGTGCATACATTTTTAGGAGTTTTTTAATGTTTATTTATTTATTTTGAGAAGCAGAGACAGCATAAGCAGGGGAGAGGCAGAGAGAGAGGGAGAGAGAGAATCCCAAACAGGTTCCATGCTGCCAACACAGAGCCTGATGCCAGGATCGATCTCATAAACATGCGATCACGATCTGAGCTGAAATCAAGAGTAAGCGGCTTAATAGACTGAGCCACCCAGACACCCCTAATATTTAGAAGTTTTATTGTTTCAGGAATCACATTTAGATCTTTAATCGATTTTGAGTTTATTTTTGTGTATGGTGTTAAAAGTGATCCAGTTTCATTCTTTTGCATGTCACTGCCCAGTTTTCCTAAAACTGTTTGTTAAAACACTGCTTTTTCCCTTTGCATATTCTTGTCTTAATTTGGGTTTATTTTAACACCCCACTTATATCAAATTAAAGAGCATCAGCATAGCAAAGGAAATAAACAAAATGAAAAAGCAACTTACTGAAAATGAGAACATATTTGTAAATTGTATAAGAGGTTAATATCCAAAATATATTTTTTTAAATTTCATACAACTCAACCAATAACAACAAAAAAATCTAATTAAAATATATGCAGAGAATCTGGATTTCTCCAAAGACTTATATAGATGGCCTACAGAATATAAAACGATCCTTAAGATCACTACTCTCCAAGGAACTGAAAATAAAACCACAATGAAAGAGTACCACACATCTTTTAGAATGGCTATTTCAAAAAAACTAGAAATAATAAGCTTTGACATAGAAAAAGTGCAGAAAAAGTAAATGTTGTGCACTGGTGGTGGGAATCTGAATTGATGCAGCTACTATGGAAAATATATGGAGCTTTCTCAAAAAGTAAAAATTGAACGACCATATGATCCAGGAACTCCCCTTCTGGGTATTCAACCAAAAATAATGAAAAACATTAAGTTGAAGAGATATATGCATCCTCATGATCATCGCATCATAATTTACAACAGTCAACAGATGAATGGATCAAGAAGATGTGGTTTATCTATACCATGGAATACTACATGGCAATGAGAAACAATGAAATCTGGCCATGTGTAGCAACATGGATGGACCTTGAGGGTGTTATGCTGAGTGAAATAAGTCAGGCAGAGAAGGACAAATATCATATGTTTGCACGTATAGGAGGATTAGGAGGAACTTGACGGAGGAACAAGGGGGAGAAGAAGGGCGGAAATGGTGAGGGAAAGGGAGAGAGGCACACCATGAGAGACTCTTGAATGCTGACAAAAACTGAGGACTGATGGATGGGGGGGGGAGGGGGGGATGGGCATAGAGGAGGACACTTATGGGGATGAGCACTGAGTGTTATGTGGAAACTAATTTGACAATAAACTATTTGTAAAAAAATAAAAAAATTAAAAAAAAAAGACATGAAAACAACTGAGTGTTCATCAATGGATAAATGGATAAAGAAAATGTGAGACATGTTTATATAGGTCAATTTCTGTCCTCTTTATTCTGTTCCATTATTGTGCATATCTATCCTTTCCTCAATCCCACAATGTCCCAATTATGTAAAAATTTTAGTAAGTAGTAGAAATAATTAAGAATATGGTGTGAGCCTTCAAAATTTATTTCTTTTAAAATTG